CACACACACACACACACACACACACACACACACACACACACACACACCAGAGAATGCTCTGATTCAAAATGTCCAAAGTGCTGAGGCTGAGAACCCCTTGGGGTTACTGAAAACAGAGGCCTAAGGTCAGATTAACCTGTCTAGCATGGCATCGGGTTTCACCCTGCCCTCTCTGGTTGGGCCCAGGGCCGACACCTGCATTCCATTCCCCTGCTCTGGCACAGCCCAGGCTTTGGGATAGCACAGCGTCCAGTAGGAGGAACACTTTCTCAAACCTACCGAGTTTCCTCAGTTACCCCAGGAGGCTAAAGGGAGGTCATAAATACCCCGGGGCTGGGGGTCGGGGGAGGTTAGCAGCAGCCCCCCGGTCACCCAATGACCCACTGGAAAAAGAGAAGAGCCTGCAGCCCTGACCTCCAGGGCTCTGCATCCTGCCTTTCTCCTTCTTTTGCAGCTTCTCCTGTGAACAGGACCCATTGAACAGGAACCCACTCTATGGGCCTCTCTCTTGTCTGCCTCTGCTTCTGACTTGAACATCTTTAGGGCTGATTGTCTTTCCCCAAAACTTTTAAAGCTTGTGTGAAACCAGCAGTCCCTTGTGCGCACACCTGTCATGCCCTGGCTTGTCCCAGAGCTGGCTTGCTTTCCTCCTACAGTTCTCAGCCTAATGATATCTCCAGAGAGAGCCCATCCCCCCACAACTGGCCACCTGTGCAAAGTAGCACATCTGGGCCCCTTGGTCCCATCAACCCACTGAGTTTCCTCGATGGGTCACCATAATTGATAGTCACATATTCCGTCTTTCCCATAGGACTCCTTCAATGTGAAGTAGTAGAATCTGCTGTGTAGTATATATTCAAATAACTGCCACCCCATAACATTCTTTCTAGTTCTCTTCCCGTGACCCACACGTTGCACCAAGTTGCCATGTCTCTGTAGTCTCCTTTAAGTTAAGTACCGGGAAGGGCAGGGCTTTTGCAGTTTATTTTTTTTATTATTATTATCTTTTTTTACAGCTAAATCCCAGTTCCTGGAATATGCCTTGCTCAATAAAGTTTTACAAAAGAAATGACAGGGAATAAATTCAGAGCCTCATCTGTACTAGATTCTTGCTTGGTAAGTGTCTATTAAAAAGTCATCACAAAACTTATACCTCTGACTATCAGTTCAAAGCTCTGTTACTCCTCTGTGTGAATTTGGGGGAAAATCTCCACTTCTGCATATTTCTGCCTGTCCCCTCTTACCTGTTAAGCAAACTGCCCACTCAGTCTTTTGCAATATTTCCTTTGTGCCTTCCCAGCATGCTCTTCGCGAGCGGGTGTTTGCACAAGTTGTCTAAGGAACCGTCTCTCTAGTGCACAGTGCCTGCCTGCTAAATTTAGAAGCAGCTCTGAGGGTTTTGATTCATCTTTGCAAACTACACAGAGTGAGGTTTCCAAATGACTGTCCCAGGGTGGCTGTGTCGGCCTCACTGGACTGGGGCCTGGGTCACCAGCCGTAGATTCCGGCCCTGGCTATTCTTTGGGACTCGCTGTGTGATTGTGGGCAGATCAGTCAAGTCTCTGATGCTCTGTCCACTCTGTGAGGTGTGAGGGGCTGTGAGGGGGTCTGAGGGCCATCCCAGTGTGGTTACCTGGCATTCCAAGCTCAAGCAAGCAATTCCCAGTCTATCTTGGGGTCAGCATTGCAGAAACTTTTACCTCTTTCGTCAATAAGCTCTGAAGCCCCATGTACCTGAGTTTCTCTTGAGACCCACGCACTTTAAGTAGGGAGATTTTATATGCAATATTTACATAACGTATAACATATACAACATACGTTTTGTAATATATAACATAAAGACTCATGTATTTTAGCATCAAACTCACCAAAAGGTTGCAACAGTAGAACAATGCACACCTATATCCCCTTCACCTAGACTTACTAAGTATTAACATTTTTTCCCATTTGCTCTCTGTCTCTCTCATTCTCTTTCTGTGTCTTGATATATAGATGTAGATGTATTAGGTTGGTGCAACAATGATTGTGGTTTTTGTCATTACTTCTATGGCAGAAACCACAATAACTTTTGTGCCAACATAATAGCTGTAGATATAGGGATGCAGCTTTTCGTTTAAGAAACTCTTTGAAAGCTGTCATGATACGAGACACCCTCTTGGTCATCATGTGTCCCCTAAGAACTAGACATTCTCCCACATAATCACACTGTTATTACCATGTCCAAGAAACTTAAGACTGGGACAATATTATCAACTGTGCACTATATATTCAAACAACTACCATCCCATAATGTTCTTTCTAATTCTTTTCCCTTGACCCACACATTGCACCAAGTCATTGTGTCTCTTTAGTCTCCTTTAATCTCAAAGCATTGCTCTGGGGTCCATTCGGCAGTAACAGAAGGAAGCTGCGAAAATTGGGAAACCGAAATCCGAGAAGCTGCAGCTCTCAGCCACAGCCTTTGTGGGCCCAGCGAGCTCCAGGGATGCACAAGAGCAAATTCACAGCCCCACCAATTTGCCTTTTAATTAGAGAAAGAAGACCAAGCTTCTGAAATCCCAGAATCTTGAGTTAAGCTGGCCATATTCTCAAGTGCTTTGTAAAAAAAATTAATAATGCGTCTCTCTTCCCAGTCCTTGCAGAGAGAAGCCTACTCAGAGTGGTTACTGAAAACAGGAACCTGCCCTTCTGCAAGCCCTGTGCCTTCCTCGTTCCTAGCAGAGGAAGTATGCGGCCAGTTTAGCAACTGCAGTTCTTCTGGGTAGCATGGGCTGCTTCTCCACACTCGCGAGAGGCCCGGCTGCCTGTTTATTCCGGAGCAGCAGCAGTTGACAGACGGAGAGGCAGTGACTCTGCGCCCAGCCATCCCTCTGCAGACAGCTCCCACAGGAGTCATGCACAGTGTGTGAAGGTATTTTGGGGGGGATGTGGCAGAGACGGGGTGGGGAGAGCCTTCGGGACCTCTTCAACACACAGTTGGCAGGGGTTGACTTTCTGGAGCCAGAGAGGAGCTCCCTGAGCACAGGTGGGGCAATGTCTTGAGAGGAGCCCAGCCCCCAACCTGGTGCCCAGCACACTGCAGTGGCTCAGTGGGTGTTGGATGCATAATTCTGTGGAGAGAAGGGCTGGAGGAGCACGGACAGGATGTTGCCAGAGGAAACATTCTGCCAAAAAGGCTTGCACTTAGCAGGCTTCTTACAAAGGACAATTGGGATTTGCCATCAGAATTCCTAGCTGTGCAACCTTGAGGGAGTCATTTAAACCTCTCCAGGCCTTCATTTTCTCAGCTGTAAAGTGACACTGATGGTACCTAATGCACCCAGGTATAGGGCAAAGTGAAGAAATTGACATATGCTAAGTGCCCAGGCCAATTTCAGCATACAGCAGGTGCTCAGTAAATGCTAACAGGCTGGAGTCATGATGTTTAAAGGTGCATGGAGCCAGGTGGGTTGAAGGGATTGCAATAGTGCTACTTGGAGTGTGATTGTATGCATCTTCTTTAAGAAGATGCCGAAGATAATTAATAACAATCTGAGCAGCTGGGATGTGTATGGGGGAAAGGAAGAATCAAAGGAAAGGCAAACATGTGGAGTATATAAATTTTGGAAACAGCATGTTAGAGTTGGAAGAGATTTAGGACAACTTGAATTTTCTAAGGAAAAAGGCACACTCCACATTCTTTTAGGTGCATACATATGGAGAGAGTCTGGTGTCAAAGAAGTGACCTGAGCTTTGGCCTCAGAATGTCCTCACTTGTGGCTATGCATAGGGGTGTCAGGAGGTGATATCTACCATCCTGAGTGACTGGGGAGGAGCAATGCATAAAAAGTTATTTTTCTGCAATCCTCAGAACAATCCTATAGGATGGTGGTTGTTATTTGCTTTTGAAAACTGAGAAAATGAGGCTCAGAGAAGTTAGGTGCTTGTCCAAGTCCCACAGCTGGTGGAGGTAGAGGCAAGTGAGGGGCTCTAAAGGGTTGGGGGAGCCTCATCGAGAACAAGCGGATGCAGGGCTGTTTTGCGTTTAAAGGGGTACCCTCTTCACTTTAGGAAAAATACACCCCATTGTCTTTAAATTGTCATTCTGTGGTTTGCTATGAGATGCTGAGCTGGTGAGTCTATTAAACTGGGCTGTGGCCCTTTGAAAACTGGAGAGGTAAGCTCAGGTCAAAATTCTGGCAAGTATGTTGCAACTAATAGTCTCCATTTAGAAGAATGCTATTTAATACAAAAATTAGCTGGGCATGGTGGTGGGTGCCTGTAATCCCAGCTACTTGGGGAACCTGAGAGGTGGAGGTTGCAGGTTGCAGTGAGCTGAGATTGCGCCACTGCACTCCAGCCTGGGCAACAAGAGTGAAACTTCATTAGAAAAAAAGAAGAAGAAGAAGAAGAATTCTATTTAAGAGTGCTTAATATGCTCTGAAAGCATAATAATAACGTTAAAAACCTATGGAATAGACAAATTGAAATCTAATTAGATTCCTTCACCTTAAACAGATCTGGAATCTAGATCAGAGCAGCAAGATGGCAACATAGAAAGACTGTGCTGCAATCAGCCGCACCTGAGTCAACATTCTGGGGCCACCAAAGAACTCTGTGACTCTGTGCAAGTCACTTTGCCCCTTTGAGTGTTAGTATTTTCCTTGTAAAAAGAAGACCAGTTTCTTTATATGTTTGAAAGAAGTTTACATGTACTATCTAGGAGATAATAGGTACTACATAGGAGCTATTGCTATCATTTCTAAATCAGACAATTAAAATATATCATATCCATTTTATATTTCCTAGGCAGAAAGCTATTAACAAGCAGTGATACACATGATGGATTAAACTGCTAAAGCAATGAGTGGGGCACTCCTCCGTTTTTCTGAATATGTATTTCTGCTTGTTCCACCATCTAATATAAACGAAACAGACAGGGGTAGGTTTGCATTGCAGCAAACTAAAGTCACTTTCTGAATAAAACTTTCCTAAGTCACTTTCGGAAGAAAACTTCCCCATTCTGAATGGTGAAATCTGGCAATGTATTTCCCAGGGAAATGAGCCTTCTTAAAGACAGAAATTATTCATTCTAGTGCGCCTAAATCAGTGCCCTGAATTAATAGATGCTGCTGGGTTTTCAGTTTTTATTTGACATTCATCAAGAATGTATTTCTCCCAGCTCTGAGAGAGGCTGAAACTTAAAATTCCCATCAAAATTTCCAGCATATTTCAGACCAAACCATTTGGTTCTTGTTAGCAGCCAAGGGTCCTGTTCGTACATTTATCTGCCCATCTATCTGTCTATCCATCCTCCCATCTATCCCTCTCTTCCTGCAATAAAATATCCCTTGAGGTCACACCACGTGATCAACTTCCGCCCTCTCTCAATCTCCCTACAAGTTCCGAAGGAAATAAGTACACCCTGTTCAAACCACTTCCTCCTATCTGAGAACCGCTAAGGGAGGAGCCAATTTGATTATGGTAACTCTAGCTAAGACAGCAATTTTAGGGGTCGGGGGCTCAGTGGTTCTCTTTTGCTGTCAAACAGCTTTGCAAAGTCACGCTTCCCTCCTTAGCACCAGGCAGACTGGAACCAGGGTTGGAGGACTTGGTGTGTATATGTGTGTAGAGGGGGTTGGTGAAAGTGAGAATTGTTGCTGGCTTGTGCTTAGGGGCAAAATAACTACCTCAGACGGTCCGGGCTTCCCTGGAAGCAGACCACCTCTTGTCTGTATTGTGCCAGGTAGTTTATATACAATACCTTCAGTCATTCATTCTAACTAACTGAGCTTGTATTATGTGCCAGGCACCTGCTAGATCATAGCTTTTCATTGAGGAATATAATAGACTTGAACCCTATCCTAAGAAAGTTGCCCTGGGAGCAATAAGCATTTAGAGAAAGAAATGCATAAGGACAAATTGTGGTATGTGCCACGAAGGAAACAGAGCCAGGGAGCGACAAGAGAGGGGACCGGACCAAGTGTAGTCGGTGCAACCAGTTTCATTTAATTCTCACACTAACCCTGGGAGCTGAACGTGTTCCCCGTCCCCGTTTGCAGATATGCCACCTTCCTCCACTCCTCCCCTCTCTCCCCTACATGCCTTCCAAGCCACATGGACAATCGGTTCAAAATATGCATCCTCTGAATGCAAGTTCCAAGCACCAGAGTGTCTGAACCCACCTCTCATCACACTGCTCTATCCACAAACCTATCAATCCACCTGCTGAATAACTATAACATGAATAACCCTCTAGCACACAAGAAAGTACCATAACCTTGCCAGAAAAAAGGATAGCTCTGCTTTAGGCTGCCCTCCATCCCTTTCCTCAGGTCTAAGGGCACGGTAGCTGGGAGCCTTGGTTTCCCCAGTTAGACAAAAGGCCTCAGTGTAAGGATGCATACTCCAGAGGGTTGTGGAGGTCAAGTGGAGAGTACATGTAACACACCTAGGACACATAATTCCTCAATACGCACTGGCACCCCCTCTCCTGTTGCTGTACACGAAGCCTCATCAAGGGCCGGCACGAATCTGGGGTGGACACAGGGAAGCCTCCAGCTGGCCCCCTCACTACTTATAGAAAGGTGAAATGACACCAAAAGAGGAAAGTGACTTGGCCACAGTCTCAGGGGGAGTTGATTGGCCCACTGTGGATTCTAAAGACAGAATGTACACAAAATGAAAATTAGATAAAATTAGGGGAAACAATCGAGATAAATTCCCCCTCACAGTACTGGAGCCACCCATCCCAGTGATTTTATGACAAAGCTGACAACCACTGTCCAGTGAAAAGGGACAGCTTCGCCATGGTCAGGAACGAGGGTGCCTGCAGACACGGGGCAGTGGGCACTCCAGCTCCCAGGCCTGTGTGCATTCTCCTCTGCTCTCGCCAGCAGTCGCAGCTCTTAGAGCATCTGCTTTTAGAATTAAAGTTTCATTAAGCTGGGATGAAGGTATTACTGAAGGAATTAGGAGTGGGAGTAAACAGACAAAGGATTTACAGGCTGGACCCAGCCCTGAACAAGCCTCGTAACCCTGAGCACCCTCCCTGAGACTCAGATTCCCATGCTGGCTCCAGCCCTGAACTAACTGTATGACCCTGAGCAAGTTACTTAGCGTCTCTGAGACTCAGTGTTCTCGTTTATAAAATGGTATGTTCTTGGGGGCATCAAATGAGTCTGTGTATTTTAAACATCTGCTTTAGGCCCTCCGCATAGTGGATGCCCACTTAGATGAGTCTGTTTTGCTTTGAAAACAGAGTCCTGTAGGCAACTGTTCCAAAAACAGATGCTTGTCGGGAGAAAGATTCCATAAAGAGTTGATTTGCTCCAGTGGTGTCTGGATGCGGCCTCTGCTGACTTATGAGGCACATTACACACATCTTTTTCCTACTCTGTCCTCAGAGATGTCACACCTGAAACCAGAAGTCAGCATGGAGGGAGAATTTACACCACAGAAATTGGCACACACCATTAGGAATTTTTCACCCTGAAACATTGATTGTTTGACATTTACTAGCACACCATGAATCCACGGTCTCCTAGGCCCACCTTGGTTCTTCAGTTCCTTTCTTTTCTTTTGAGATGGAGCCTTGCTCTGTCACCCAGGCTGAAGTTCAGTGGCACAATCTTGGCTCACTGCAACCTCCATCTCCTGGATTCAAGCATTTCTCCTGCCTCAGCCTTCTAAAGTGCTGGGATTACAGGCATGAGCCACCACGCCCAGCCTGTTTCTTCTAACTGTTCCCTTTTATTTCCCTATGGAGCATCTACTGAGTCCCAGCCGAGAGTAGAAACAAACCTGCTGGCTGCTCTCAAGGCACTTATAGTTCAGCAGGGGAGACGGTCACTCACCACGCAGTCACACAAATGACCATCAAATTGGGACCCACCCCAAGGCAATCGGTTTTCCTGAGGAGCTAAGGAGGGA